ATATAAGGTTTTCAGCCTACGATTGAGCTTCACTAGGAGCAACTTAGAGGTACTTTCGTTATGTACCAAGAACATGTACATGGACCATTAATAATGAAACATATGTTGTAGATCTTTTTCCACATTTATTATGCTATTTTTGTGATATACAAATGGCATGAGAAAACTTGGTATGCCACTAATCTCTAACAGTGAACGGTGAACGGTCAGACTTCTCAATTTATCTGCTACTTTACCTGAAGTGGTCTTGCTGGGCTACATCTAGGCTTCAAACTTGATCTTGAAGCCAGGTCTGTATGCAGCTAGCTATTTTTAGTTACATGCAGTCAGTGTCAAATGCTTACCAGGTGTTGCTGTTTTATAGTTTTTCTTGAAAATAAATATTTTTAAAATAAATAAATCTGCACTTGATTTGCCAGACAGGCTAAAACAGGTCAGGCCCACTCTGCTGCCCTTTTAGCTGACATTCAGAGATGCAATGAACAATGACAGTATTTCTTGTCTAGACTAGATTTTTAAAGGTGATTTTTTAAAGGTGCAAAGTCAAAATATGCTGGCTAATTTAACCAAACATACATTAAGACCAGCTGTAGTGAATTTAATCTGTTTTAGCATATACCAGAGCATTAAAAAAACACACCTTTTAGCTTGTTTGTTTTTCAACCTTTTGAAACAAAAACCGTTTTCAGCCTACAGTATATATTTTAAAAGGGCAGGCAGAGGGCTTGGGTCCAAACTTACAACTGTGGTGCTTAGCACCAAGATCAGAAATCTGAGAGTTAATCTCTATCTCCATAAATTACATGGGACAATCTCCATAAATTTTGATGTGGGAATGGGATGACTAGCAGGTGGGTGAGGTTTGCTGGGGCAGGCCTGGCAGGCTGGACTGAGGGATATGGTGCCTGTCAGTTTCCCTAACAGCTGCCAAACAGTTTTAGAAAAAAGTTTAAGACAAATATATGCATTAAATTCTTCTAGAGTGCAGACTATAGTTGACTTGGCTGTAATAGTCATGTATTAGAATAACGAGCAGTCTGCAACCAAAGAGACTTGGCTAGTAAGTTCAAATCCTGCCCTAAACTTTTTGGCCATTGTTTCACAGCCTTAGGCATGCCTTGTTGCATATTCCATAAACACTCATCCAGACACTGAGTCCCATTCCACTCCCAATCTCCTTTATCCATTTCCTGAAGCCTTCATTTCCTTCACCTACCCTTCCTGCTACTGGTTCACATTTCTCAGTATATTGCTTACTAGACACCCTTTTTTAGCCACATTGCTTCTAGGCCTTCTATGAACCCCAAGATCTCTTCCCAACCTCAGCCAACCTACTAAGCCAGTGGTTTTCAACCAGCGAGTCATGGCACCCTGGAGTGCCTTGAATGATGGGCAGGGAATAATGGGAAAGGTTCCTTCCCTCCCTCTTCTGAGTTCCTCTCGCATCTCTGCCTCCCAAAGGCTTGCAAAGCTGTTTGTTGCAGCAGCTCTGACTACAAGCTCCCCAAGTGAATGGTGCCTCTGGGCCTGGCCAGGGGGTGCTCCCCAGGCCCCTGTGGGGCAGTGTAAGGAGGCACCTCTCTTTGGAGCAGGGGGGGACAGCTCTGAGACCAGGGGTGGCAGTGGCAGCTGCCCAGAGAACTCCCAAGGAGAGGAGAGGACGCTGAGGGAACACTCCAAAGGGGTTTCGAAAAGGGGTGAGGAGCTGCCAGCTCTGCAGGCAAGGGGTGACATAACTGAACTCCTGAGCCTTGCAGGGGTGCCAAAAAGGTTGAATACCTCTGCACTAAGCTACTTGTGTCCTAGCCCATAATCAGGTATGGGCTGCAGTATTAACAGATAAATTAACAAAGCAACTGACAGTAGCATGAGGAAGTAGAACAATGGATGTCTTTACTGAACTGTTTCATCTGCTTTCCCTCATAGAACTGGATTGCAAGCAGTTGTCTGAATATTCTTGAGTTTCTGGAATATTCAACAATCTAAGCAAGCCAATTAGAGTCAGAGATTACCAGAAAGCCAAGTAAAATACTCAAAACTCCTAGGGGACAGTCTCAAATATTGTTATTTATAGAGTACCACTATATATTTTCAGGTAACAGCCTATCATAATTATAATTATGCCCAGAATTATGAAGACAAGCATATATGTTTGTCTTACATTCATTGTTTATTTTTGAAAGCTACCTTAAAATCATTAAAGTCAGTATATAAATGTTTAAAATGTTTCCTCCAAAAAAAAACCTCCTCACAGTAAGCTAGGTACCCTTTGATTTATTGCATTTCAAATAAGCTCACCTCAGAAAATTTCAAGTTGATGTATTATAAACCTGCAAAACTATGGAAGCCTGCTGCATGATTAATAGAGGGGATCTGATGCCAAAGCAAGTTAGCAAAAAAGATCTTTAGATCCTAGTTCACACATATTTTTTTAAAGCAGAAAAGCAAAAATGCTTGATGCTGTTTTGCCAATGGGCAATTATTAGCAAAGGATCAGAAGACACCTGACAATTTAAGGGGCAGAGGACTTAGCCTAACTATCCCCTATGAGCATTACTCTGACAAATCCTGCCTGACAGGTTTTGTTATGCGGGTGCTAATTAGTATGATGCTAATACCTAGAGAAAGTGGGTGGGGTGATGGTTCTGTTATTTGAAGAGCTGCAGCTGAAGCCTGTTTTTCCTATCACATCTTTCATCTGTTTCCCATGTACATATTTGTATAGAAGCCTCCTGGTCCTCATTAATATATTTCCCCACCCTGTTCATTACTCTTTGTGCTGAATGTAACAACACAAAAACCAAATGGAGCCTAGCAGGCATTATATTAATACCATACTGTTAAAACACATTAAAAAATATGGTGCACACCAGCCACCCTATTTAATTATATCAATCCAATTTGTTTTTATTTTCTCTTGTGGATCTAGAATCTCTTCAAGTCACGGGCTTTATTTTGGGTTTTAGCTCCTACGGTCACTAAATAATTGAGCACCACTGTGTCACAACAGAATTGGCTTGCTATCATTGAAATAAGCATGGGGGTCCATGTGCAAACAAGCAGCACAGGGAAAAATAGAGCCATTTTTTCCCTGTCTCCTTCCCAACATGTGTGCAAGTGAGGGTGCTTTGTAGGGAATGAGAGGTGGCTGCTTGCATGTATCTCCCATATTCCTTACTCTTCTGTGCATCAAGCAAGATATTCATTCTCTGAAACACAAGAAACTTGCATCTCTCTCTCAATATGTAAAACATTATAGGGGTTGCCAATGTGGTTCCCTACAAATGCCGCTAAAGTACAACTCCCATCATTATTTATCCTTGGCCATACTGGGTGGGTCGATGAAAGTTGTAGTCCAGTAACATCTGGAGGGCACTATCCTGGCTACCCCTGGTTTAACCAGTGCGACTCATGCATGTTAACCTCAGAACTGAACAACTGTAATGACTACTGTAGGTGGGACTACCCTGACGATCAGAAGCTATAGCAAGTGCTAAGTGGGGAATCTGGCTGTCCACACATATAATATCTGTGCTGAAAGAGCTGCCAGACTGCCACCAAGCCATGTTTAAAAGATATTGTTATTAAATATAAAGCCCTTTCCAACTTGGAATCAGGTAACCGAAAAAATAATGCCTTCGAACATACAGATCTGTTAGATCACCAAAGCCTTCAAATGATGTTCTGTGGTCCATACTGCAACCTGGAAACTCCATCTTGCAGTAACACAGAGGCCGGAAGCCTTTACTGTGGTGCCTATTTTATGGAACAAACTCCTCCTCACTACCAATATGGCAGGCAGCAATGGTAGTGTGCCTTCATCACTTACTAAAAATATACCTGATTTGTATAAGTGTTCACAACCATAGCTGCCAGTTTTTAACTGGCTTATGTACTGTAATGGTGATGTTTTAAAGTACCAATATGCTTTATTAACTTGTTTTAAAATGCTGTGGTTTTGTTTTTAATGAAATAGTCAGGCAAGTTATTATCTGTATATTTTGAGGTTGATTTGACAGAATGCGGTTTGTCCCTAAAAAGATGAGGTTGGCAGGGCATGCAGCAGTAATTTGAGCTTTTTCTCTACTATGCAACTGAAACAATTGATAAGCCCACAAAGCCATCTTCTAAGCCCTCTTGAACTCCCTCTGAACTGATTTCATCTGCTACCAAAGCCATTACTAATCCAAGCGGGAAACCTGGAGCAGGTGCCAGAACGCAACAAGGAGCATAACTATAAAACAAAAATTAACAGTGCAATCCTAACCCCATATATGCTGGGTGGAAGAGGCTGGTATTTGAATTATCTGCCCTCCAAAGCAGTTGATCTGGCCTTAAACTGACATAAACAACCTACCCTAGTGTACTGGCTGACAGAAAGCCCTGCTGGCGTCAAGTTGGCACCTTGCAGCAGTACAAAGGGCAAAAGGGAGTGTGTCGGGGGTGAGAAATGGGCTCATCGGGGGTGAGGAGATACATAAAGTTATGATGCCTCCTAACTCATTTGATCCACTGATTTCATCCATGGAGACTGGTGTAATTTACATTACCCACAAGAGTCACTGGAAGGGTAGAAAATGAATGTTTACACTGCCTCCATGCCTTCTCTAGCCAGGAGCAGTTATGATGCAGCTTAATTTACACAAAGATGTGCCAGCATATATCTCTTCTCCTGATGATTCTGCCTGGTTGGGATTACTTTGCTCAGCAATTCCAGTTAAATTAAACCTTGTATAACTAATGAGGAAAACAGGATATTTTCTCATTCAAAAGACAGCAGCAATGTTTTAAGAATAGGTGTTAAGAAAGAAGAGTAAGACCACATTTGTTATAGTATAGGATCTGTATTTTTGCTGCATATAAGAATCTACATGCACGCACATCTGCAAATTCTGCTACTGACAGAAAAACACATTCTTTGCTTGTTTTGTTCCCTACTCAGCTGGATACCTGAGTTTTCAATATATTGGTCATTCAGAGTAGTCACTAACACTGACTCAGCCTGGATAGCTCAGTTGGTTAGAGCATGGTGCTGAAAATGCCAAGGTCGCAGGTTTAGTCCCTGTATGGCACAGCTGAATGAACACTCCTGCATAGTAGAGGGCTGGACTAGATCAGGGGTGGGCAACCCAGATGCGGCCCAATAGCCTTCTCAATCCGGCCCGCAGAAGGTCCGGAAATCAGCGTGTTTTTACATGAGTAGAATGTGTTCTTTTCTTTAAAATGCATCTCTGGGTTATTTGTGGGACCTGTCTGGTGTTTTTACATGTGTAGAATGTGTGCTTTTATTTAAACTGCATCTCAGGGTTATTTGTGGGGCATAGGAATTCATTTGTTGTTGTTTTCCAAAATATAGTCCGGCCCACCACATGGTCTGAGGGACGGTGGACCAGCCCACGGCTGAAAAAGGCTGCTGACCCCTGGATTAGGTGATCCTCAGGGTCTCTTCCAACTCTGCAATTCTATGATTCTATGATTAATGAAGGTCCTAGATGTCAAGACACTTGAAACCGTAATAAAAGTCAATAAGAACAAGTATCCGAAGACAGGAGAAATGTACCAGTATGTGCATTTCCCTTGCATCACTGTTTCCAATGTTGTATATAGGTGACATGAGCAAACATCTGACAATTCATATATTTTTTTATCAGAGACAAGAAAGCCATACCACTCTGAGATCTGGAAAGGCAAAATACTTTCATATCTCTAGCTCTGCATTTAGTTACTACAAAGGTCTGGGCAACCTTTGACCTGACATATGTTGCTGAACTACATCGTTCATCATCCCATGCCTGCTAGAGCTGGTGGGAGTTGTAGTACAGCAACATTTGGAAGGTCAGAGGTTCCCCACACCTGTTACAGAGGCATCTCTCCATGCGCAAAGATGAAAAGTATCTAAACAAACAGACAGTGGCACATCTATGTACCAAACTCCTTTATTCAACAGGGCTAACTCCAAGTACTGCATATCATCTCAAACGTTGTCAAATAACCCTTAGAAAGCACAGCATTTTCAAACATAAATACAGTAATTCCATTCCCAAGTAAGAGACAGCAGAAATTCCAAAAGCAAATCCACACCTGTTATACCTGACTTGCAGGTACCCAGGTAATATTCTCCAATATTTCATATAATAAGTGCCTGACAGCCAAAGGTAAGACCTGTTCCCTACCTACACCCATTAATTATTGCTGTAATTAGCAGCTAGGTATGATCTGTCAACAGCAACCAAAAACACAGCTTTGATTACATATTCCTGATAAGTATTCACTGACCAAAAAACCAACAACAACCACATGAAAAGGAGTTACTTTTAACAGAAACTAGAAGTTCCTAGTTCACTTTTTTCAAGACATTGAAAAGTAGATGCAATCAATTCAGTTCAATTAATTTCTGCATCAAAACGCAGACTGTGCTTAAAATTATCTGTCCTCAATCATCCTATATTATCATACAGTGGGAAGGGACACAAATTAAATAAAATGCAATGTGTCAATTATTGAGGCCAAAGTACACGTGACATTAAACATGTATTTGCATTTAATGGGCAGGGCTGTTTTAAAAAATGCAAATAGCATCAGGTGGTTGTCCCAGTTGTGATGTATGGAAGTGAGAGCTGGACCATAAAAAAGGCTTATCGTCTTCTTTAATTTGGTGCTTTTGGATTATGGTGCTGGAGGAGACTCTTGAGAGTTCCATGGACTGCAAGAAGATCAATTCTTGCAGTCCATTCTGAAGGAAATCAGCCCTGAGTGCTCACTGGAAGGACAGCTCCTGAAGCTGAGGCTCCAATACTTTGGCCACCTCATGAGAAGAGAAGACTCCCTGGAAAAGACTCTGATGTTGGGAAAGATGAGGGCACAAGGAGAAGGGGAAAACAGAGGACGAGATGTTTGGACAGTGTTCTCGAAGCTACCAACATTAGTTTGACCAAACTGCGGGAAGCAATGGAAGATAGGAGTGCCTGGTGTGCTCTGGTCCATGGGGTCACGAAGAGTCAGGCACAACTAATTGACTAAACAAAACAAAACTGATAATTCCTGAGGAGAAAAGCAGGACCGAACACCACATGAGCGGACTTTCACTTGTGCGAAAGAATTCCTCCTGCCTCTCCTCCTCCCTACACATCTCTTAAATCTGTTCCAGAGAGTCTCCTAACACGCCAATGCAGAGAGTAAAAAAGGAATATGACATCCCACTGTGCTGTTCCAACAGATATCCATTCCACTCACACATGAGCACCACTGATTTTATCTCAGTAGAATCACTCACAAAGCATATAGCAGTTTCAATAGATGGATATGGCAGGGAAGGAACAAAATTTGTTTCCTCTCCTTGCCTGCTGCAATTCCAGGAATTATCAGTATCTGCAACTGCTGATAAAAAAAATGGATTTAACATCATGTCACACACAGGTGGACTAAAATCAAGGGTTGCTAATTAAGAGGGTTGGACAGTTGCTTAAAAAAAAAAGTACATCCAGCCTCTTTGGGTGAAACTACAATTTTGTAAATAAATCATAATAATAATTTATTATTTGTACCCCGCCCATCTGGCTGGGTTTCCCCAGCCACTCTGGGCGGCTTCCAACAAAGATGAAAAATACACTAAAATGTCACATATTAAAAACTTCCCTGAACAGGGCTGCCTTCAGATGTCTTCTGAATGTCAGGTAGTTGTTTATCGCTTTGACATCTGATGGGACATCTGATCCACAGGGCGGGCGCCACTACCGAGAAGGCCCTCTGCCTGGTTCCCTGTAACTTGGCCTCTCGCAGTGAGGGAACCGCCAGAAGGCCCTCGGAGCTGGACCTCAGTGTCCGGGCAGAACGATGGGGAGGAGACGCTCCTTCAGATATACTGGACCGAGGCCGTTTAGGGCTTTAAAGGTCAGCACCAACACTTTGAATTGTGCTCGGAAACGTACTGGGAGCCAATGTAGGTCTTTCAAGACCGGTGTTATATGGTCTCAGCGGCCGCTCCCAGTCACCAGTCTAGCTGCCGCGTTCTGGATTAGTTGTAGTTTCCGGGTCACCTTCAAAGGTAGCCCCACGTAGAGCGCATTGCAATAGTCCAAGCGGGAGATAACCAGAGCATGCACCACTCTGGCGAGATAGTCTGCAGGCAGATAGGGTCTCAGCCTACGTACCAGATGGAGCTGGTAAACAGCTGCCCTGGATACAGATTTGACCTGTGCCTCCATGGACAGCTGTGAGTCCAAAATGACTCCCAGGCTGCGCACCTGGTCCTTCAGGGGCACAGTTACCCCATTCAGGACCAGGGAATCCTCCACACCTACCCGCCTCCTGTCCCCCAAAAAACAGTACTTCTGTCTTGTCAGGATTCAACCTCAATCTGTTAGCCGCCATCCATCCTCCAACCGCCTCCAGACACTCACACAGGACCTTCACCGCCTTCACTGGTTCTGATTTAAAAGAGAGGTAGAGCTGGGTATCATCCGCATACTGATGAACACCCAGCCCAAACCTCCTGATGATCTCTCCCAGTGGCTGCATGTAAATGTTGAAAAGCATGGGGGAGAGGACAGAACCCTGAGGCACCCCACAAGTGAGAGCCCAGGGGTCTGAACACTCATCCCCCACCACCACCTTCTGAACACGGCCCAGGAGGAAGGAGCGGAACCACTGTATGACAATGCCCCCAGCTCCCAGCCCCTCAAGACGTTCCAGAAGGATGTTATGGTCGATGGTATCAAACGCCGCTGAGAGATCCAGCAGAACTAGGAAACAGCTCTCACCTTTGTCCCTAGCCCGCCGGAGATCATCAACCAGTGCGACCAAGGCAGTTTCAGTCCCATGATGAGGCCTGAATCCCAACTGGAAGGGATCCAAATGGTCCGCTTCTTCCAGGCGTGCCTGGAGTTGTTCAGCAACCACTCGCTCAATCACCTTGCCCAAGAATGGAAGATTTGAGACTGGGCGATAATTGGCCATCGTGGCCGCATCTAAAGATGGTTTAAGAAGCGGTTTAATAACCGCCTCTTTCAGCGGGTCTGGGAAGGCTCCCTCACGGAGGGAAGCATTCACCACCCCACGAGCCCATCGCCCAGTCCTTCCCGGCTAGCTTTTATAAGCCAGGATGGGCAAGGATCCAGGAGACAGGTGGTTGGCTTCACTCGTCCAAGCAGCCTGTCCACATCCTCGGAGGTAACAGATTGGAATTGATCCCACACAACTTGACTAGACAGGACTCTAGCACTCTCCCGCCCTGGCCCTGCTCCCACGGTGGAGTCTACTTCTTCCCGAATCTGAGCGATTTTATCTGCAAAAAACTTTGCGAAATCATTGCAGGAGATCATGTGGCCCGTACTGGGCCCCGATGTCGCAGGTGGTTCCGCTAAATTGTGAACCACCTGAAAAAGTCTCCTGCTGCTGTTTTCTGCAGATGCAATAGAGGCGGCGAAGAAAGTCTTCTTCGCTGTCGCTATCGCCACTTGGTAGGCTCGACATTGAGCTCTAATCTGTGTCCGGTCAGATTCAGAATGAGTTATCCGCCACCGGCGCTCTAGCCGTCTCAACGATTGTTTCATTGCCCTCAGATCCGTGGAAAACCACGGGGCTGCCCGGGCTCCATGCAATCAGAGAGGGCGCTTCGGAGCCAAACAGTCAATAGCCCTGGTTAACTCCACATTCCAGCGGGCCACCAGGGAATCGGCTGAAAGGCCATCAACATTAATGGAAGCTCTTGAGGAAGCATTTTACAACTTATTAAACTGTGTTCAAGATGAATATTATATAATGCATTTTCACATTTCAGCCAATAAAAGCATTTCTGTACAAATCTTCATTTATTAAATTTCAAATGGAGGTTTGCCTCAGTGCAGCAAGGCTTTGTACCAGTTTCCCTTTGGGAAAGGGTTTTTGTTTGAATGCAACCTTTTGTCCTGTTCTTGCTTTTAGCAAAGTTTTATCAATAGGAAAAGCTGAATTTCAACAAATAATGAGTCTTTCACTTAATATATAATTACAGATTAAGGATATATAGAAGCTTGTTAAGTGTCCAATGAACTCTTGTTTCTACTGAGGTTTTGCAATAAATGATTTTATGTAA